ATGAAGTTTAATAAATATGCTTTTCATAATTAGTTAGTTTATGATACCGGTTTTAATATTTACGATTTTGCAAGCTGTAGTGGTTCTAAATTAACACAAGCTGTGTTAAGTTTTAACAGCATTTATCACAAAATGCATTTAAATGCGTTGGAAATATTCCTTGATAGGTGTTCCATGCAAGAATAATTGGTAATTTGTTTAGTGTTTTTATAATATCCTTATTAAAACTTTTTCGCTTGCTACTTTATAAAATTCCTGATGCATCAAACTGTACTTTCTAAGCAAACGGAGTGCTTTAGAGTATTTTGATGATGTTTTAGGATTTGAATATGTGCATGATATATATTTAAAAAATCATATGGTTATTTTCTATTAGATATTAATAAAATCAAGCGACTTTAAAAAAAAATTCTGGCTTTTCAATGATCGTTCCTGTCGACAGTTTTTATAGTCTGCACCATAATTTCTTAAGAAATCATTGAAAACATTGTACAATTTGAATACTTAATCAATTTTTCCCGAATTTTTGTCAAAAACAAAAATTATATTATTGGCTGGAAAGGGTTGAAATAAAATAATATGAAACCAGTAGACTCTGAATATAGCCAGCCATTTGTGTTTTTTACTTTCCCAATTCAGCTTTCCAAACTAATTACTTACGTAGCTAAAAAATGGCCTGGCGGTTTGCTGGAAATGTAATTAATTTATCAAATATTTATCTACAGCAATACAGCTTAATTAATAACTAGAAAAACAAACCGATCTATTCAATAATTCCCAAACAGCTACTTCAAAAAGCTGGCAGACCAAAACCCAATAAAAATATTATGAGTAAATCAATGGATTCTGTACTTAACAAGGTAATCGATTTCTGCTGAAAAACGGTCAAGGATTTAGAGGACCAAAGTTTAGAAAGTTCCTAACAGGGCAAATAGAGAGTAGAGTTTAACATCGGATCTAACTTTAAAGTAAAAACTGGCAAAGCTACTAATTTGATAAGGAGAAAAACGGGTTTACTTTTTTCAAACTCATATACATATGTTACCGGGTTACATGAAAACTCGATATATATAATCGAATAATAATATGTATTTWTTTAAATAAAGCCAATATTGAGCCTCTGACAAGAAATGCACAGCCTTTTTTCTACTGGCTGGTCTGAAGTTAACCATCGGAGATTATTTCTTTAGAAACTCGTAATTTTTCCCAAAAATTATCAGTAATGAAAAATAATCGGCAATGAAAACAACAAAATTGAAAATTCTTACCTGATTTTCCAGTTATGTCCATTGCCTTGAAGCTCCGGCCTTTAATGATTGTTATCGTCAATCGGCCAGCTTTCGGTAGGAAGCACAGGCATACCATCAGTTCGCCCAAATTTACTTCATCCTGAAAAAGAGAAAAAATGTATGAAAAATAATTCTCGAAAATCAAAAAACCTAATTTTCCTATGGCCATTCACTTGGATCTACAATATGTAGTTGACCGAGTTGATGCCAGTTTAGTTATTGGAAACCTGCTGTCAGGTGTAACAAAACTGTCCGGTAAGCACAAACAAAATAGCAGCAGATTAGCGAGAAACAGAAACATATCGGAAACAAGGTCAAACGTGAGTAGACAATGGAAAAATTAATAATATATAGACCGAAACAAATAGATAAGTGTGAGAGACAACCGCAAACCAATTATTAGCATCGTCTGTAATTAACAGAGCCTTAACTTCAGTTGCACAGACTCAATAAACAAGAACAGAACAGAACAGCATAAAATTACCTGCTACATAAAAACATCTGCAGGAGTTTCCCAAACGACCCACAAAAACGTTTTCTCGTGAAAACTGGGGAGGTGAATATCACCCTTGCTTATCAATATCATGAAAAACCATTTTATATCCCTACAAAATAAAAATAAAGAAACTACACCGGATTATGGCCATCAGCGGTGACAGACCGTTTTTTTCTCGAGCTTTCTTTCCACATTTTTTCGGCTAACTTGAGCGGTATCTCCATTTCTACCGAAAATCGTAAACGGAAACACCCAAACAAGCCCTCACTGAGTTTCAATAGATCGCGGTTTGGATACGAATATCTGAGAATATATCCCCCAGTCGTTTTTATTGTTCGAAACTATGTTGTCGAAATAACGAGACAATAATGCGGCCTCTTTTGAATAGCGCCAACACAGTTCTCATGGTGTAAAGTGGATGGAAAAGATTCAGGCGAACTAAAAGGGAGTGAAAATAGAACTATCGTCAAAAGAATACTGCGTTGTATTTTAGATGAAGATCCAACAATAACTCGAGTATTAGGATGATGGTCGATTGATTTCCAGGGCACGATCGGGATTAATCAAAGGACCGCGGGCGTTGGACCGTGTGAATTTAACAGCGAATTCAATTTTGTATTTCGTCGATGTTAGGGATGTTGATGAATAATCCCATCGGGCGGAAAGTCCTCAAGTCAATATCTTTGTCAGACAAAACTCCGCTTGAAAAATCAACATTTACAATTAAACTGATGCTTCCGTATTTAATTTCTCATTCGTCATGTGTGATTTCATATCTGCGTCCATCCAATATTGGACTTACTATTTGCTTTTAGTAAATCACAAATTTCCTGCTAGAAATTGGACGTTTGATAGGGTGTATTTGACTCTCTTTGATATTAACTCATCCTCATTGCTTCTTTTCCCTCAGATTTGTCATGTGAAGTGAAACGGAAATATAATTTGTGTTTAAAAACATTTAGCCATGTAATTAAAAAGTTAATCGAAAACTGCGGAATGGTTTTCCAAGAAACCGCCTTGACAATAGAAATGTTTTTTTTATTATTATAAATATATGGTAGGGCGTTTTATTGATTTTCCGGTTCTGGTTGCTACGAGATCCTATTTTTTAGTTCGTAAAATCGTTTTTTATTGTTTTAGGATTGAAATCTTTCTGGCCTGCAAGTTTCTAAGAAAAATGAAAATATTGAGAACCGTGCCTCGGGCTCAAAGCCCAATAACAGTTCCAGTAATGAGCCCTGAAGATAAATGAATTTTCCAAAATATTGATTCCCAAATATTTTCTGCTTTTCATCATTTTTTTTAAATTACAAACTTTATTCTTTCTCTACCGGTTAGAGCTGTTTAATTTTTTTTATCAATAATAAAACTGCATTTTAAAAACCCGAAACAACAATCAGCAATTTAAAAGGGTTATGGGGATCGAAAAGAGCAAATTGAAATTACAATTCGTCGGTCGCGTTATAAAAGTACAAAATTCAGTTTGATAAGCGAAAATACGCAAAATTCCCAACAACCCGGTCATTGTTTCCAGCTTTGAATTAATTTTATTTCGAAAACTCCTTTGTGGTTTTAATTGGGTTTAGTGTATTTGATAAACGATTTTTCAATCAGAAAAATATATTTTACCGTACTGATTCGGTGAGAGAGAAATTAAAATGTTACTCCAAGCAGGTTTAATTTAAATTGTAAATATTATTAAATAAAATAATAATTTCACTTTAAAAAGTCGTTTTACACATAAACTAAATACGAAAAATTGTATGATAAAAATATGCACAAAAAAACGTTGCAGAAATTATGCTAATATAGCGGGTATGCGGTAGATGGAACAACCGACACGTGTGGAAGATTTACAACGAACTTTCAAGGAATTAACAAAATGAAAGGACAACTTATTCAGGAAGAGTTGTCCGCGCGCATTGGAGGTTGTTCCGAGTTTTACTTTTTCCAGAAGCTGCAAAAAGCAATAAAAAGCTGCATGAAATATTCTTCTTCGTAATAACTTAGTTAATTTTTGAAAATGTCCAAGAACTGTGCAACCGGTGCTATTTTATAGCAAGCTATTTCCATATTGAAAAATATTGAAGTAGGAACAAAGAGCAGGAAAATTTTATTCAAATATGTCCGATCTAATCTGTTTTTTGATAGTCGAAATGCAGATTTTTAAATAGAGTCAAATACAGAAGGAAACAAAAAAAAATGTCTCACAGCTTCCCTTTATCTTGGGAAACTTGGATAATTAAAAAAAATAGATATTTAGATTGAGTTCTTTTAGCGATTTATTGAGTCCACTAAGAAACTGAAAATATTCCAACAGTTAATTTTCCGTAGTTTTTTGCTTGCTTTGCAGAAACTGCTTCAAACACAACAGCAAAAGTTCGTCTTCATTAAAATTAGAATAAAATAATTTTACATTTACGCCGATGTAAAATACATGGGTGAAATGAAGTGCAAGTTTCGGCAGTCTTATTTTCAGGCTAGACCCTGCTGATGCGAGCGGATAGACTCGAAACCGGCCCAGGGGGTGCCTGAGATATGTCCATCTCGAAATCTACACCTACTTGCATCAATTGTAAATGCGCCAGTGGTTTCCAAACAGTTTATCAAATTTAAACGAAGTTCGAAGAGGAACTGGAAAGGGTTAACCATTTTTGAAACACAATCGCGTTTTAGATTGTTAAAAAAAATCTGAGAGAACTTAGATCGCAAAATCAAGGAAAAGCTTGCTGTTTAGGTCTGAATAAGATTGCAATTTTTGATCCGCATGAGTGATAGAATTGTTCTTTTGACATATTGAAACTACTTGAAAAAAGTATGTATTATTCAGCAAAATTTATTAATTTTTTTAAAACTGCTCGATAAGTCTGCCATAATTTTTTGGGCAATGTTGGTTAATAGAATAAAATATTAGAAACAGATTACGTGTAATTTATTCTGCTATCTTGCCAATCAAAAACTTGAAATATAGGCGTTTCAACTCTTTCCCTTGTGCGCCATTTGCCTGTAAATGGTGTATTTTCAAGCAGTTTCCTCCAAACTATTTCAATCCTTTCAATTGTGTATGCTTCGCTAATAAATAGCTCATCTCAAGCTTGTGTTTAACTTTTAATTTGTGCTCTAAGCTACCTATTTTGAAAGCGCATTAAATCCAAATATTGCCCTGGATATGGCAAAATCTTCCATCGTGACATAAATTTACATAGAAATATAACCCTATCCGCAGACAGGCACCTAGCTCACGTTTCCATCACATTTCAATCATCAGGAGTTTCGCTTAAACACAGCGTCATTTTTCAGCAAAGGTGTCTCATTTTTGTTTGTCCGCATCCTTCCGCCAAAAGGAAGAAAAAACTGTTTGCAGAGGAAAAGCGCATATTTTGAAGCCAACGAGATTAAAATTTTTATACAACAGTTACGGAGCGCAAAAGAAGTGCGGCAAAAAAACGAGCCACGAGAATAAAAGCCCGCCATCTACCAAAGCAATTTAAACTTTAAAATACTGATTAAGTCTCTATGAAAGGCAGAGCATTGAACTATACTTACCATGGGAGGGCAAAGGATCGGCATTGTGTACTCAAAGTCCTGCTGTCCATGTTCGACAACTTCGGTTAAATTATCCACAGTGATATGGCCTATTAAATCATGTCGAGCGAATCGATCAAAGTCGAAAACTGAGAGTTGCAGGTATCGGGATTCCAGTTCCTGGCTTGTCACACTGTAATTTATATCAACTTACTTTAGAAGCTTAGGAAATGAATAGGAGGTATCGACATTTACCTGAAGATGAATGTCTCGTTAAACACGGGGTTTAAGCTCTTCCTGTGCACTTTAGTTTGGTACTTCTTCTTCCTATCAGGCAGAAGGTGCAGCTTCACGTAAGGATCACAAGTGCCAAATGTGTCTTTTATGGGCAGATCCCGAGCTTCAAACATCTGAAAACAACCAGTTTTGCTGAATTGTTTGAAAAATCTTCATTAGCGGTAATTTTTCAAGTGTTGTTGAATTGAGAGACTTTGGCAACCAAAGTCTGAGGAAGGGAGCTACTCATGTTGGCAAAACGTCAGAAAGAAAAGCAACTAAATGAACTTAACAATTACTGGTGAAGAAAATGATCTTCCCGATGTCTGTACAGCTGATTTTATTCCGACATTCTAGATCAATGGAGAACTGTTCATTAAAAATCATTCAGGGCCTTCAACCTTCATCTTGAGAAATAGTTTCGAACTAGAATCTCTGAAGATGTGAATATTTTTGCAGGCCAAAACCAGTCAACTCGGTCAGAAAAAATATGTTAATTTGCTACATACAAAATATAACTGCCTTAAAAGTATTTCGTTATTAGCCGGAGAAATTCAACACTCACTCAAGAGCAACCTTTTGAGTTTTAACCAATTATCCTGAGATTAGAGTCTTAACAATCAGCTTTAAAAAATTATAATTCCGTAGAAGGTCGTTTACGGAAAAATGCCTAAAAAAATAATCATCATTGCAAAAAACTTTACTTGGTTTCTTGAAAATAGTGGTGTTCAACTTGTGATAGCAAATTTGCCACGATGAAGAATATTTTGATTAAAACTCCGCAAAGTCTAAATGTGGTTCTAAAACCATTTTAGGAACTCATCGCTTTAAGGAATTAGCCCAAAACTAATTATCATTTAAATGTGATAGCGAGGCTTTAGTGTAAAATGTGCAAAACTAAAATTTAAAATAGCTGCAAATCTTCTGTCACACAACAAAATAAATTGACCAATTTTCAGCTTTTATTCAAAATTATGAATGTAAATTTTAGGTTTTCAGCCGATCCTAAACGTGTTCAATGTCTGCTTCAGAAGGGAAAGCGTTTCTCAAGCCTTCCAACTTGTCGACTCTACATTACCGTTTCGGGTTTAAACAGCAAATCCTTACTTCGAAATGCTTCAAAAATTTTTTCCTGTTACTAGAAAATGTGCCAATTTATTGAAGTTACCAGCTTTAAAATAAATAAATTTTATTTAAATTGAAAAAAATGGTGAATCATTTCGTACAAAAAGTGGCTACTGAACTTTTTACTAATTTGTCACAACAAAGACGGAACTTCTCTCTCTTCTAAAATTTAATGCAAATTTGTAATATTTTTACCAAAAGTCAAAATATCAGATTTTGAACGGTAAACGTTATATAACATCGAAACATCCAACGCTTTTTTTTTCAGAAAAATTTTCAGTCCAATTAGCAAAACATGCTGAATAGAAACTTGGTCAATAACCTTTCGCAAATGCGCCACCTCTAAAAATGATTTCCAGGTAAGAACCTTGAAGTTGTTTACTAATTTATATAAATTTGAATTTTTTGAAGACACCAAACCTATAAACTCGAAATCCTTATTAGGACTTTAATAAAAAATTGTAATTTCAAAGCCTATTCGACGAAATTTTGCAAAAATTGCCTGGTCAAAAGAAAGCCATAAAGCTAAAATCCCTTAAAATCGTATGAAAGTTGCAGAAATCCGCCCATAGAACAAAATATTCTGACCGAAATATTGATGTGCCTTTTAAAGAAATTAATTCCATTCTTCCAAAATCTCATGCAAAGCCTGAAAAACTCATATTCCAAAGTCAAAATGACCTCATCAGACTTTTAAACAAAAAAAATCTGGCATTGAAGACATATTTTTTTCCAGACTATAAAAGACCCGCCAAAGTAAAACCTTTGATGACCTAATCCAAAATACAAATATTTCGGACTCAAAACCTTAAATTTAAAAACCTTCTCATTGTTAAAACAATATTTATCAAGGCTCATTTGGTTTAAAAAACTACGTAATATAGCAAAGCCCAAGAATACAAAGTCGCGAGTTCTCCAGCCACATTTCTTATAAATGAACCTGCAATTGTAATTTTCAATTCTCACCAAACGTCCTACTCTTTTATGTGTATTTCCATTGTTCTTGCCTGTCACGAATTCAGCTTTTTATGCAAACATCCCGTTAATGTTGAAAATTTTCAGACACAATTCAAATTTATATATACATTTTCAGCACATTGCCATGTAAATGTATTGCAACCGGGTTTACCTTTGTTAGGAAGCATCTCTCATGTAATTTCCTGATTGCTGCTTCACTGTGAAAGCTTTTTGATACTTTACAATAAAAACTGTCTTTAAGGTGATTGATGAACAAACCAATCCTGAATAGTAGATATTAGGTTTGCCTGACTGATCCTTTTACTTAAGCAGTTAAAAAAAATGGAAGTGTTTGATTAGAAAAAAATTGCATAAAATATAAACGGCTCAACGCTGGTGACAAAGGACAGTTCAATAAATGAAATAATGATAAGAAAATGAAATAAAATGTAATTCTTGCAGTATTAAAAAGAAATAAGAAATAAATAATAATAAGTTTCAGTCTTTAAATTTGTTTTTAAAGCAAACCGATGTGTTTATTACAATAGACACTAAACTATGGTTTCAGTCCAAGTTCCCCATTGCAACATTTTTTTGATATTTGGCTTGGCTTTGTAATGAACTAATTTAAGCTGTGAGAGCAACATGAGCAAATAAAGCATTCAACATAAAATCCGTGTTGTTGCAATATATTTTCCCTGTTGTGCATTCTTTGCTATTATCGCACATTTGAGCTGTACAAATCGCGGGTGTTTAAACCTTTGTTTTTGTAGTCGGCAACAGAAATTCTGATAAATCTTTTAACACCTTTCAGATTCTATAGGCTAGAGCAATAACGTCCCTCCTGAATATTAACTAAAGTATTATTATATTTCTCTTAATTGCCAGTGCATTTTAAAATACGAATGTTAACGCAATGATTAATTTTTCAAAAGAATCACCGTCACTCTTTGCTTACTATTTATAAATTGTACAAAATTCTAAAATAACTATGGTGCATAAATTTAAACAAACTTTTCCTATTCATTACATTACTATTTTCAAGATCCCAACTTTATTTTTACGGAATCCATTGTTCATTCGCCTTCTGGCTCATTTGATGAATATTTAAGGTTGATTTTAATGGAGCCAGTCGTTACCAGATACTTTCCAACTCTTAACACTTTCCAACAAAATCAGTAAAGTGGGTTTTTTGTATTCATCACTCAAAAATATTCGGCTCAAGTCTAAAGACTTGAAAGCTTACGTTCCGAATTATCCTTAGGAAAAATGCTGTTTTTATTTAACTTTTCCGATTTTAATGTTTCTAACAGCAGGCATTGAATTAAAATTATTTTCACTTCCTAGTGGGTCGATTTTCGGATTTGTAAAGTTGTTGAAGAATCACAACTTTCCAAGACGAAACTTTCGCAGATTTTTCAAGCGAATCTTGATTATTTATTCCTAGACTGCCACATTAAAGTTCTTCCAAATGCGGTATAGAAAGTTCTCCGAAAGTTCCGAAAATCCTAGACAATAGCGCGAATAATCAATTAAATTCCAGCTGGCATTGTTTCCATCACTTCTTCTAACAAATGTCTGGAGAACGAGAAACCCAGCTACAATATCCTACTTAGGAACATACTTCCGGTAGACGCTGATTAACTTCAACAACGAAGTTAAACCATATAGACCGTATCGGCTAAAGCTATGTAAAGATGGCAAACTTGTTTACTTAGATGGTAATATTCATTATTAAAGTTGGAAGGGAGCTTCGCAACTAACAAAGTTATAATTCAGGCAGAATAAATGCACTAAATGTTAATAAAAGGCGCGCCCAGCTCGAAATTCAAATCGGATAATATGAAAGATATTGCAATAAGGATATGAGAAGCATGTTTTCGAAGTTTCCGTCGAATTCTTGAGTGCATGTTCAAACTTTTAGCATTTCCGATGAAAGAATAATAGTGAATTATTTCATAAGAGTTATCTCCGATGTTATAATTTGCGGTAACATTTAAGCCACAGAAACTTCAAGCTGGGAGAGAACGAAAAGTAGCCAATTTCGATTAATCAGATTTAAATTGTAACCAGCTTGTAGTCCTGTACCCTTCTCAGAAATTATTTAGCGAATCACCATCTGTTCTGTAACAAGCTGGAGAATTCCAGAATGGGTCAAAGGACAGTATTTCCACTTTACCATTCCTAATACCCGTGCGACTGAATCGATTTAATCAAACAGTATGGAGCAAAACAGCAGCTGGAGAACTTTAAACCAAGTAGAAAGTCTCATAAACGTCGAACTTACCTCATTTGCGCAAAATTAAAAATACTTATGAAAATTTCTACTTCTGTACCAAAACGAAAGTTACTAAAACAGCCATCCTACTTACTCACTACTTACTGGCAAATTTATTGTTAAAATGTTTCCTACCTTGACCACCAGGCCCTCAAGTTCTTTGTCGTATTTCAATGCAAAATGAAGAAAACCATTTGTATCCATCTTCGCTTCATTTTCACTTTTTATCGACGACTGTCTCTGCAGCAGTTCTGTTTGATACAATTCAGGCTGAAAGTCGAAAGTCATAAATTAAGAGCGAAAATGTATTTTCTATTCCAGAGCTATTTTCTCTTCTAAAGCTGCAGCAGTGTGAACTAACAATGCATTTTCAAGTTCGTTGAGTGTATTATTAAATATCATTTCAACTACGCCGCAACAAGAAAAATATTGTTTCAGTTAGTCTCTAGCGAATATCGAGATCTCGGTCGGATATATACCTTGAAAAATTACGTCTCAGAAAATATTTTCAGCTCTATTAAATTTGGGAGCAGCATTTCCTGTTACTTTACACTAATATATCCAATAATTCAGCTCAGTTGCAGCTGACGAAAATATCAGTTCTATAAGTCAATTTTAAGGTATTTTAATGCTTTTTATTAACGGGCTCTGAATGTTTATATAGCTAAAATAATGCAAAGAATCGAATGGAAGAATGCAGAATCTATTTGAAGGTATGAAGTCCATCGAGTATCAGTTGAATAAATGTTTCTAGAGCAATTAATTTAATTTTTAGAAATAATTTAATGGAATTCATATATTCAAGAGAAGACTAATTGTTTTCTGGAATTGTGTTCATGCATTATGGAGATGTAGGGGACAAATTCACTCACTTAATCTTTAGTTTAACGTGAAATTGTTAAGCTATTATTCATTATTACAAATTAATTTGCAAGTGATTTGCATTTTTCCTGTACATCTAGCTATTCCAGTGATCCGAATAAAATGCAAAGGATTTAAGTAATTATTTGGCGAATTGATATCATGCATATTCTCGCGGTTTTTCATGTTTAAGAGCGAATATTCGGACTGCGGAAATAAATGGGGTGTTTTCTCCAGTTACAGGTAAAATTAAAAATTATAATAATTTTGCTAGTTAGTTAAGTTCAATCCATTATACTAATAAATGTAAACACTTGTTAACAGCTGTAAGCAATTGATCGGATGTAGATTAAGCCAAATTTTCGGAATTAGTCAACTTCAAATTTAAAAGAGCAGTGACGAAAACGGTGCATTACAGTTTTTTAAAATTTAGTTTAATAGTAATAAGATAATAAACATTAACTTCGTATACACGCTTAATTTCACACTCTCAAGTCTTCTCAAAATTACATTTTTTTACTTTTAGCTTTTTACTTTCACAGTACGAAAAATCTAACTAGAACTTACTTGAATTATGCCAATTTTGGAATTGCTGTAATTTTTATCCAAACTGCAAATGCTAAATTTGATTTCCGTTCTCATGTCCAAGACATGAGAGGACTGGCGTTGAAATGTATGATGGCGTTCAGATACGATCGGTAAAGTCGTTTGCCTCAATACCTGAAAGTAAAGGAGAATCATATTTATTTCTGCAAAAACCAGGTTTTAATGTAGAAGAGTCTTCAAACAAATGTTTTTCTTCTTGCTTAGTATAAAAACTATTTTAGTTTTTCTACAATAATGTTGAATATACCGTCGATTTTTTGACCCGATACGAAGCTGTACGTGCGTATATCAGTAACCTTTAACGGTTCTGATGATGCCCAAAAGATAAATTTTCTCGTCAATAGAGAAATTTAAAATATGAAAAAGAACGGGAGCAAACATAAAGAACAGGATTAACCTAATGTAAGAAATTAATAACATCGGCACATTACTTAAAGCCGTTTTGTACTATTGGATTTGTAGACAGGCAACAAGACAACAGATGAAAGTTGGACTCATCATAAAAACATACGAAATATGCAGATAAACTGAAGAAAGCTTTAGAATAGTTATCTTTCTCTACACTTTTAAATAAAATAAACGTGGTTGAGGTGGTGCTTAGCTTTACAGCAATTAATATTCTTCGTCTCGAGTGAAGTCGATTTCGTATCAACCGATAAACATACTTTGTTTCCCTTGAGTTCAAATACATAGAAATTGATTGAAAATAATTTTGATTTGGAATTGAAAATAAATTGATATTTCTTTACGAATTTTTCAAATTTATTTAAAAACGACGAAATTGTATGAACAACTTGAAAAATGATTTAGAACATTTTTGAAAATATTATTTTCATGTATTTTACTAAACATTTTATATTAGATTGTATTCATCGCAAGATTACAATTATATTAGTACCTTGGTATTTACTATATTATTATCAAATTATCTATTATTCGTACTATTTTTTTTTCTAAAAATGCCAATAAAATTTATTGTAACTAATATTCTGTCTCATTATTTTAATTTTTTTTTCAAGAGTGATATTTACTCTATCAAATATTTAAGTGCGCCAACAAGGTGAAACTTAAACTTATTTAGAAAATTTAAAGCAAATAAGTTATGCAGTTTTGGACAGAAAATTAATTTAAAAAATTACCATTAAGTTAATCGTGTTAAATCGCTTAATACATTTTCTAGTGAGCCCAGTGACTGTATGAAATCGGCTTTAAAATAAAAATTTCCGAATTTAATTTTTTAGGGCACCCGAATCTATGTATTTGTACCTTAATCATTTTTACCAAAATACTTGAAAATAAATTTGGGTTTAATCCAGTCAAAGTATGTACTTCTGACTGGTTAATTCTATTGAATCCTTAGGCAATGATGATCTTAGATGGTGGCAATTTAAAGTGATAAATTTCCATAAAACAATGCATAAATACCAGCTGAAATTTTGCAGTGAAAACCAGGTGACCTCAAAAGGAAAAACTCACCCGTCGTGTAATGTTGACAATCCGTGTCATATGAATTTTGAATGACTGAATAACTCACGTGTTGTCGTAAATCCCGATTATTTTGTATTTTTCCGATTTTGTACCGAGATTTTAAATCGAAAGATCGATTGGCTTGGAATCGGGGCATGAATCCTCATCAACTCCAGTTTTAGAAAAGCCGAAAAAAGCAAACCGGAACGAAAATGACCCTGCAAGATACGAAGAGCAAGAAGCTTTACATTATCGGGAATTATCGTTTCAGTGAGAAACTGTTGGGAAAGGGAAACTTTGCACGGTAATGTCTTAGTTTTACGTTTCAATAAGTTTTCACGGCATTTAGAAATTGGAGCGGCCTTGGAGCTGCTGTTCGGTTTCTAATTTCACTTGTGCCAAACGAGGCCTTTGGTAAAGCTCTCATTATCGGAGTTTAATTAAAAAGGGTGAGATAAATTATAACGAGATACCGTCCTTCAAATTTTAATTAAGCAGAGGCTTACTTTGCAAAAAAACATTTTAGGCCTCTCAACAATTCCGATAAGACATGTAAATTAGTGTAAAACTAGGAGAGCACTTAATCCACAGGTTAATTTTCGCGTCCCTTATAGATGGAAAGTCTATTTAACTATTCAAAACAGGCAACTAGGGTCGTTTACCTCTTTGAATTGTTCATCTCCTAAACACATTTGAAATCTACGTGCTTTATCAGTGTGCACAAATTTAGGCAATTTGCAAATTAGTCTCCCCACTGTTGAATACATTCATGTACCTATCTCAACATTTATATAAAGAATAATTTGGTTAAAATATCGGTTCCATTGGGAGATCTGTTTACCGAAACTTTGAATCTGAAATGAATTGGATGGATATTGATATTTTAGAGTAGAGGAGGCGATGCACACGATTCTCAATGTCAAAGTGGCGGTGAAAATTATGGATGTTAACCAAATCAAGGAAGACTATATTATAAGGAATTTGTGCAGGTAATGTAACTTTCTATACATGGCTTAACTGAAATATTTGGTTTTCTTTTAAAAAATCTTTAGACATATATATCAAAGGTTTCCAAATGATCCAAAACTTTACATCTTAAAATACTAAATGCAAAACGGGTTCAGTTCAGTTTTTCAACTTGAGTATTATCAAGGTGAAATGCGAGATGCATTTTCCCCGGGAAATTTGTGAATTTGAAATCCGAAATCGAAACACTATTTAGCACAACAACGTCAGTTTATTAAAAAAAAAAGAGAAAACGGAGAAGGTAAACTTGAAGCCTCTATAATATGGAGCAGAGGATATAATTTATCGGATATTCCTCCAACCCACGAATCGATAGATAACAAAAGGGGGAAAATTCAAAATACTCCTTCGCTCAGTTTAGATTTTCGACTTCAAAGACTGAAAGGTAAAGGAGGCTTTCAATGTTCAAAGATTCCAGAGATTCATAAAAATATATACCCGTGAAACACAATGAGCCGAGTTGTATCCTAGTGAGCTTGTGGAAAATTTATAAATTAATTCAATAACCTTAAACACCCGCTTTGCTTAAAACGACTACATTTTATTTAACGATAATCTTTCAAACAACAGAAGAAGGAGCGAATTTCTTACTTCAGACAAATATTTCGATGCAGCATATTTTTGAAGAAAGCAAATCTATAGACTCAACTACCCAAGAAATGTTATAATTTGAAATGCTATATAATTTTTTGCTGGAAACGAGCTCAGCTCTGTTTTTAAATTTCCAAGAATAGGTTGAATGATTGAACAAGGTTTTTAGGTTTTGAGATGCCCAGCTTCTTAACGATAAAAAAAACGTGCAGATCAACTTTAACTTAAAAATATGCACGAAAATCTTAGATATTTTAAACTCAAAACTCAAAAAGACCTTAGTTTATTTGCCAATTGAAAGATCGGTTTCCATTTTTCAAAAAATATATTCTTACGGTTTCCATTCTTCAAAAAAATTATCACAATGCATGAAATGAACTGTTTGAAAATATCTACATTAGTGGCAGACGAATTCAATTCGGCAAACATGAAAAAAATCGATTTCAAAACATTATTCAGCTCAAAACTACCTTAATTTTCAATTTATTTTTCTTAAAAAATGTAAGAAAATGTTTGCCGATTAATTAATGGAAACGTGAACCGACATAATTTTTTTCTGGTGTCCTTTTCAAGAGTTTGTTTGAACATTGGCAAAAATACATTTTAATCGTTAAAACGCTATTGAAAGTTTTGAAAAATTCTTAAAGATATCGGAGCTGCAAATATATCTGGAAAAGGGATATATCCGCTTCTGACAAACTCTAAACATTCTGTAAAAATACTCCGAACCCGTCTTAAGCTTAAGGTTGAGTCAAAGTCAGCTTCGGATTTCTTAGCCAAATTTATAAGAAAACAATAACTTAGAAAACAGTAACTAAAGAAAATAATTCCTAAGGTACTTAAAACTTGAAAAACTCTTAAAAGAAAAAACTGGAAACCTGTTTTAAGATTGAGTCAAAACAAGCTTTCCTTTCAGTCAAATATTTTTCAGTGAAGTTTAGACGAAAACAATGAAGGGAATAAATTTCAAAAGCACTCTGAAGGCATTAGAAATTGCTCAAAGTATCAAACTGTCATCAACTCTAAATGCTTATAAACACAGAAAACATCCAAATATGATTATTTTAAGTTAATTCAATAATTAATTTTCTTTTGAAAACAAAACTTTTTATATTTTGTTTTGTTCAGCTTTTAGCCCCCGAAGTCATTTATATCACCATTGGTCATTTTTGCGAGGTTCTCGATTAAAGAAAAAGTGGTTTTTATCCTCCGTTACCTTCAGTTTGTTCTGGTATTATAAAACTAGGCCAGAACAAACTTAAGGTAGTGGAGGATAAAAATAACTTTTTCTTTAATCGAAAACCTCGCAGAAATGACTAATCTTGATATAAAAGACTTGGAAGACTGGGAACATTAATTATCTACTTCATTTAAATGTAATTGCGTCGTCGAGAGCTTTAACTAAAATTACTTCGCTTTGGTGGTTTATGGAGTAGTAAAAAATGAGGAATTGCACTCTTTGGAAACTTGTGATGCATTCGAAAATATTACGGTTCTCGATGAACATTCATGATTTTAGTTGATTCGAAATCTCCAAGCGTTATCCAATGTAATTTTCACGAGATTTTTTCCAGTATTTCTTCAAAAATTTTATAGAAATGTCTCATGAAACCATTGCGGCGGATTTAAACCCTCTCGCAACGTCCACCCACAAAGTCAATCAGCAATCAACAAGGAGCCAGAAAAATCTGCGGACAACATTAATCTAAAATTAATTATTTAACAACATTAAAAAATCTGCGGACAACGGCCGAATTAACGCTATGAATATGCACATCACTCGTACTTGCGAAACGTCAGGAATAAATTTGCGCCAGTCCGAAAAACTTATCAGGTTCAACTGAAATATTATTGATTGAAATTTTTTTCGGCGGACTCTTTCCCATTAATATTTTCGCAATTAGAGTTTCCAACAAAGGTTAAATTTTCTTTATTCAAAGCATCCACTTTTAATTAGCTTATTCACTGCAATCCTTCCAAATAATAACAGTAATTTAAACATTTGTGTAAAATTTACTTGTTAACAGTTTTTCTGTCTTAAAGCTACGCAAAAGAGGCTTATAAAAATTGGATTATTAATCTTGTGGTACTTTAAGGGATTCTAAAGGTGAATTTTTCTTATTTTTGAGCCTTTCTTTTTATATTACAGAGAGGCGAAAATTATGGCCAAACTGAACCATCCATGTATTTGTGCACTGTATCAAACCATGCAGCGATCAGATAATGTGTACTATTTGGTAACTGAGTTAGCTTCAGGCGGTGATTTGTGCACTTTCGTCAAAGAACAGCGAGGTGGCCGTCTGGAGGAACGCCCAACTCGAATATACGCCCGCCAATTTGTGTCGGCTTTAGCTCACATGCATCAATTAGGGGTAAGTAACCCCTTTGCAAAAAATACTCAACATAATTGCGTGCAGAATGTATTAAGGCAAAAAGTGGGCACTGGCTGGAAAATTGCTGTTTTCCGGGTTGGACTTTGTTGAATTAGTTATCCAGCCAAAGGCACTCTGGGAGGATTGTAAAAGAACCGCAATTGTTCGAACCTTTTTTCGGCCTTAAACAGCGCTTTAATTGGACTCTCTCATACATTCTCCGGAAGAACATGCATACAGAAGTAACGACGAAAAAACCGTAAAAAGTTGATATTTTAGTTTAAATATTCAAGGAGGGATCAGAGCGAGCGACAGGGCGATTTGGAAAAAACTGTTACAGTAAATTAATTTTTCCGCAATATATTTGATTTAATATAGGCTTTGACGGCAACATGATACATGCATCATCAGTTATGACCCTCAGGCAATTCGATTCGCGGCAAAAGCAAACTAATTAAATTAAACATAATGAAGATGGGGTGTTCATAAATTAAGCGGGGTGATTTGAAATTTGCGCTGGTTATAGAGCATTGAAGTTAAAAAACCACCAAAAAGGAAGTTTACAGGTGCTAGCTATAAAATACGTATTACATTATTACCAGTTAGTTAAAAAATACACTTTTCAACTCTCGAAAAAGTAAACGCATTTTTACATATCAATTTGTAAAAAACTGTATACTTACTAAACTTGTTTATCAAGAATTGCTTAATTCTCCTTGAAAAAGTGATGCTAACATAAGTTTCAGCAAAAGAATATCCGAAATTGACACCGGAAGTACTGAATGAAAGAAAATGTCAAAATTCAAGTTCAAATGGCGGCATTCTTGATTATTTAATAAATTGCTATTATTAGAGCATTTATGTATAAATTCAATTTTATGCATAACAGTTTTCTAGCGTTTAGCTTCCGATAAGTCATTTGAAACAACTTGCCTGAATTCTTATGGATCTAGGAATTCAGATTGATAAAAAATTTAAATTTGGTTTTTTCAAAAGTTAAACAAATTGGTGATAAAACCAATAAATCTAGATAACTTCTAATTTGAAAAATTGATTTTTTGTGCTGATTTGGGGCTTGTATTGACTTGGACCACGATTTCGAAAATATAAAAAGCATATGCAACTTTTAAAGTGAGTATAAAATCGCAGTACCAAAACCATAATTTTTTTTCGGTGACAAGCAAATTTCGAATTTTAGCCCGCTTCAAAGCAGGAAAGAAAAAAAATTAAAACACAAAATACAAAACGATTTAAGTACGTAAAATGACTTAGCTATTAATTGCTGTAACTTTTTCTTCTTTTGTTAACACGTATTTGTTCTGGATAATTCAGTTATTTGTGTGCATGCTCAATATCTTTCATTGCCTGTTACTTTCAACTTCATCTTTATACGACGTTTATACATTTTCAATCAAACTGTAGGCCTTGCTCGGTTTAGGAGAAATGGACGCAGAAAAACATAGTTTTGATTTCCTAAACTTCGATATGATTTTAAGGAAACTTCATTTATAAATCCAACAGTAAAGTTTAGAACGTCCAATTCTAACTCTCGAAAGTACACATGCCAAGCTAAAAAACAGCAAATTCAAATGCAATTCTCCTCTACATGCATATTCAGCAAATTCTTCTTGAAAGTTCTGTATTATTCAGTTGGAAACATAGTTCCTTAATTGATTGCCTTTTTTCGGAATAGTGCCATCAAATTTGCATTTCTCCATTCCAAAGCTCCATCTTGATGTTATGCTGAAGAATTAATCTACAGCTAGTATAAAGTAATCAAATCTCGTTTAATGCAATTGCGATGTATGCGCATAATTTAACTGCACGAGACACACATGTTTTCATTTGGAACAGCTGCGTGCTGGTTCATGCGGGACATTTAGCCAAAGTACTTGCTATTCCAACGGCGTCTTGAAATATTGTATCAAATAAAAATGTGGCTTATTTTCCATTGCAATTTGCATATTTACCAAACTAACTGTTGCACGAACGCATTTCCTTGAGTAGATTAGCATAATTTTCCAACAGTATAATAGCTCTTTATGTAACCGGTTTGTGAGGATTTGAGGCCTTTCTCAATATGATTTGTGTGTGGGATTTGCTTCTGGACACTTCAGCTTTATATTATATAAGGATATGAAATTATTTTTCCTTTTCATTATTTGATATCACTATTCATGTCTGTGAATAGGAACCTTTTCCAAAAGTTTTCTTCATACTTTTTAATGCTGTGCTATCTACAATCGTTAACAATCCTGCCAGGCATTCGTTATAAAACGATTCCTTTTACATACTTCCAGAAATGTTTGACCCCTGCTGCGACAAAAAAGACCTCTAGAGGACTACTTTCGAAATAAATTGTATTTGGATGCCACAATCATGAATTATCGAATAAATCACTTTGGAGCAAATGCGTTCATGTTTTTTTTGCTTTACCTCATGTCTGAAGGACTTTTTTCCGAAAGTTTGCAGTCGGGCGAGCTTTATGTTTAGTGATAGATATAAACGGCTTTAGTCGAGTGAATAAAGCGTCTTATATCTATCACTTACAAACCGACAAAGTTCCCGAAAACGGAGCGATTTTTCTATTTGGATGCTCGATGCGCTCAATTGCTTCGATATATGTTTTCTTTAAAGAATGATAAATTATGCAATATTTTTGATACATAACAGTAAGGGAAAATCGAGTTTTGTAGGTAAAAATATTTCCAGAGTTTTTTTTCAGGAATCGCATAAGAATGTATAAAATAATTATCTTGTCAAGAAATCTCAAACGAAACAAGTATAGGGAAATCGTTCGAAAATTGAGCTACTTTCTGTTTTTGTCAGTTGTGTGGATACAATCTGCTGGTCATAGTTCACACATTTATTTAAAAAAATATGGGAAAGAATTGGAATGTCCCATGTTGAGTGGAATTTCATTTATAAAAAATTCATTCTTAAGGAACCTGACATGAAATTAAGCAAATGTAGCATTTTTTGAGCCAAAGAGACCAGTTTTCCATCTTTAACATTCCTCTCTTGTAGCTATAAAATAATAAGTCCATCTCAACCAAATCACAATTTTTATTCTTTTGTTCACTGTTTTCAAAAGATTTTTGTTCGGTATTCAAAAAATGTCTGCCTTTGAGGAGACAAAGAATTCCACACGTTTTTTATACCAAATTAATAATGCGT